TGCATCTGAAGCATGCTCTATTTTCGGGAATTAATGCATTCCAACGCATGAAACAGAGCACGCGACAGAGCACGCGACAGAGCATTCCAACGAATGAAAAGGAAGCATAGCTTCCTTTTCATTCGTTGGAATGCTCTGTCGACAGTTTTTAGTTGCATGGGTTTTCTGCTTGCAGATTAAGCATATTCTGTCTGCTGAGCTTAGAAGCTTGAAGTTGTGCGCATCTGTCGGCCGTTCTCTCTTGGTTTTGTAGTTATCCTCTCTTGTTCACGTTGTGTTTCTTCACGAAAAGCTGCTTGCTTTCATAAGAATAACAGAAGCCTGTCCAGCTTTTCCTCGCACGCTATTCCTGTTGCGTTGCTTTGCTCGCCGTTCTCTGAAGCTGAGCTGTTTCTCATAGCCTCTTTTGACTTCAACTGCACTGATAATTCTGGTGGAATTGCTCTTTTTCATACCGGAAACAACATCGGCGCATAGCTCTTGATTTCCACTTTTAGGGACTCGAGTGCCAATATATTAACTTGCACTTTCTGTACTAGCCTCTTTAAGTCATGGGTATCTTGAGCAGACCTCACTTTTTCCAAACTCAAGAGCTCATTCATGTGCATTTTAATAGAATGTTCGTGATTGCCGAACGTTTTTTGCAGTATTTTGATTGCATCGTCAAAATTTTCCTCTGCCGAGTACTGAAGTTCTTCAATAGCAGTCACCGCTTTTCCGGTTAGCGATGCTAACTAGTAATTGAACTTCTGTCCCTTGCTCATGTTCAGTCTCAGGTGAACTGCCGACTCGTACTGAGCCCAAAATCCGTTCCACTCCAAAGCTTTTCCCCCAAACTTTATCATTTCAGGCTTTGGTAGCTTAACTAGTTCCGTTGATTCTTGTCCTGTACTTAAGGGCGTCAACTGCCTTGTCCTATCGTTTGAATCCGATTGTGCAGGCTGTCGAAGTCTGAATTCTATTGCAGACACGGTCATCGTTTATTTCATGTCGTACTCTTGTCTTCTGTCAAACTTTTCCATTTGCTCGTTCACGCTCTTGAAACTGTCGCTCATTCATTTAATCTGCGCCTGCGTTGCAAGCAGCTGCTCCCGGTTAGCTCCATCATTAATTTGCTGTTCAGCTGCGTTAATGCGCGATGTGGGAGTGAAGCACTTTCCTTTTTTTCCTTATCACTTCCTTGCTCATATTTAGGCAGTTAACAATGGCTCCTTACTTGTCAATCGTTCGTTCTGATGCTCGTACTGTCCACCGTGGTCTCGTCGCTCGATCCATGTCAATCCTCTGTTCTTCCGCCATTTTCTTTTCTGCTGCTCCGTGGCAGGTTGACCTTTCTTGCCAGCGAGGAGGTAGTATCCTGGTTCACGGGACCATTATTAAGACGATCGAGACCAGGGACTGCTTCGAACGAATACAGTTTATTAGAAGAAGTGAAGTAGCACGCACTCGCTCTAGGCAGCAGTCTTCTTTCTTCTTCTTCTGGCGTTTGAATAATGATATTTTATAGTAGCCAGGGAAATTTCGACAGGCCTCCTCTGACACGAACCCTTGTACAATATTGAGGGCAACATCACTGAGCAACTGCCTATGACACAGCTGCACTGTGTGTGAGGCGTGTCTGTGGTATGCAAAGTGTATCTCCTTCTTGCTCTTTTTCCACCTTATTGCCCTCTCCCCATGGGAAGGGTGGCAAAGTGGACGTCCGTCTAGCTAACCTCCCCACCTTTCTCGTATACTTTCTCTTTCTCTCTCTCTGCAGTTTTATGCAATTTACTGTGATTAATTCTTGTCCATATTTCTGAAACTTGTATTACTGTGGGGCTTGTTAGTCTAATTCTTAATTGTTTTGAGCACTGTTAGCCTCGTTTTAGGGTGTAATGACCAGAGAGTGACTCTGTCACCACTGTCACTCAGTGGTGGTGGTTAGAAAATGAAAAAGGCGCCTAATTTCTGCAATCCGCTAGGTGGTACGCCTGTCGGTCAGATAACATGAAACAGTAGATGCACGACAAGCAGAGCCCCGAAAGTGCTACGTTCGTAAAAGGAAACCTACAACACGGTGCCCATTTACCTGAGTGCTGCTGTCTTCGTTACTTGACAAGATTTCTTCTAAATTATGGCCTCTAGACTAAGCTGCCAGTCTTGAGAGATCACGCTTCAGTTACGTTGCAGGCGGCGATGCACGATAGTTTGGGTTTCCCGCGAACGCGATTGAGAAATAACACGCGTCAACAAAGCTTAAGATCGAGAAGTGCTGCCATCTCTTGTGAATATACACAAGCTTTTTTGAATGTGTATGACCTCTGAGATTAAGCGCCGGCTATGAATAGATGAATGGATAAATATGGCTGTACCCTTTAGATTGGGCGGTGGCTAGCGCCACCAAGCCGTAATACTTAATGAACTCAAAACTATATTTATTTATTTTTTCCTTAAAAAGTGAGTTTAAGGATTCGTACTTTGCAGTGAAGAGTTAAATTTTCACTCGTGCCTTGACTTTAGCCATCAATCAGATAACCTCCTTCTAGTTAAGTCTACCAGCTTAAAGTCTATTTTGCCCTCGCTGTCCCTAAATCCCAGTGCTTTGAAAAACTCTGCGCCATCATCCTGAACTATAGGGTGAAGCCCTTTACAGAACATTATCAAGTGTTCGGCAGTTTCTTCTTCCTCTCCACACGCACTGCATACTGTGTCTACCCCTTCGTATTTGGCCCGATATGTCTATCGCAGCACACCAGCAAAATATGGCAGCACACCTATGCGCCTGAGGTGTGCTGCCATCTTTTGTGAAAGTACACCAGCTCTTCTCATTGTACATAGCCTCCGAGGTTTTAAGGGAAACAGGCTTAAAATAAGCGTTTACAAGGTACATAATAAACCGAAATTATAAGGGGAGACAGGGGAACAATAAACGACTTTTGATAGTAGGAACAAGCTGTACAGGGAAGCAGACAAATTTTTTGAAGGAGGTCGGGAGACTTGAAGTGTGGCACTGATATGAAGTGGGGTTGGGCAGGCAGATGGGGTAGAATGACAGTTTGTGTTCTGTATAGTATGACAAATATAGAAACAAACAGGTGGAGGAAAGAGGGGGGAGGGTTGGGGCACGAGTCTGGTGTTACACTCCCTGGCTACGCCAGCCACAGGTAGTAGTAGTCCATATGCAGTAGTAGTCCATATCCTTTGTTGCCATTACGAGAAAAAAAAAATAAAAGGTCCCGGACGGGTCAGTGGATGCGTAGGGTGTTTAAGAAAACCTTTAATACGGCGTAACGCTGCATAGCTAGTGGGAACAGAGCGCAAAGCCAGGCATTCAAAAGAACGGGAGACACATAATTGGCACCCGTCCCGTCTTTCTGGTTCCTGCGAACGTCTCATTCGCTGTTCCAAATTTGAACCACTTGTGGTTATAAAAGGAGCTTCGCTATATGCACCGCAAAACAACGGTTGTTTTTCAAACCAGAGAGCTATCGTCAGTTAGACGCTCCCGAGGACAGAGAGAGAGAATAAAACATTTATTTGCGACTGAAGGAGTGTCGGTGAGTGGGCTTCCTAGTCCGGGATCCCATTAGCACGGGCCGCTGTCCACGCTTGTCTCACGAGCGCCTCTTGGGTCTTCGGATTCCGAGCTGGACAGAGCTGCCTCCCACCCTGCAGTGTTGGGCTGTGCTCTGGGTTGTAGAGGTGGATTGTGTGCGCATTCCCATACCATGAGGTACAGGGTGGCTGTTTTAGTGAAGCATAACCTGCACTGTGGTGTGTATGTGTCGGGATCTATATATCTTGGACAGTATGTATGGATTGGGGTAAGACAAGGTCTGCAGGCGACGCCACGCTACCTCACCGAGATTCTTCACCGAGCTTTGTCGCCGGGGGGGAAGTTTTCGTCTTTCGAGTCTTTGATGTTCTAGAATATCTGTGTATGTTAGGAACGGGTCCATACGCATAGCCGAGGGTGAGTGCGATATGCCGGGGTCGGAGGTCCGGACACGCGATGGATGGATGGATGGATGGATGTGGCTGTACCCTTTAGATCGGGTGGTGGCTAGAGCCACCAAGCTGTAATACTTAATGAACCCAAAACTATATTTATTTTTTCTTTCTTAAAAAGTGAGTTTGAGGATTCGTACTTTGCAGTGAAGAGTTTAATTTTCACTCGTGCCTTGACTTTAGCCACCAATCAGATAACCTCCTTCTAGTTATGTCTACCCGCTTAAAGTTTATTTTGCCCTCCCGGTCCCTAAACCCCAGTGCTTTGAAAAACTGTGCGCCATCATCCTGAACTATAGGGTAAAGCCCTTTACAGAACATTATCAAGTGTTCGGCAGTTTCTTCTTCCTCTCCATACGCACTGCATACTGTGTCTACCCCTTCGTATTTGGCCCGATATGTCTGCCAAACATTATAGCGTCGCCTGTGGCTTGAAATTGACAATTATCAAAGTCAGCTAAAAGACGCTGTCTATTCTCTCAACAGATAATGACATGCGCTGAAAATGACCCCAAATATAAGCGTCGTGGGCTGCATATACCTGCCGCGCCCGCCGTAAGAGGCCGCCACATGCGAGTGCGTGCACTCGCGACCTCACTTAAGCAGAACTGACTATTGGGCTAGTTGGCTATCCATGAAAACTAAATTAACGAGCACGAAAATTTGGAGATCCTTAAGCTTTGCCATCAAGAGTTTAACGCGATAGCGATATATTGTCCCTGATGCGTACTTCAACTACTTAGTGCATGCTTCTTATTGTACGATGTTACTCGAGAAGCTTAAATCGTGGATTAGTACGATTACCGGTATTCCATGGGCGTACTACAAAATGCCGGTCGCATATGTGATGGCATAAAGCGAGCAGTGTTGTAAGTGGCTGTCGATGGCGCCAACAGCGCCTGTAGCCACGTGGCCCAGATATCCTCTTAATTGGCTGCACATGAGTAGCAGGTACAATGTGGGATGTACGAACACGCGAAAGCAAAGTCAACAATCGCGCATCGCGAGTGTTGAGAATCGATTATTCTCCACCAACAGCATGCACTTTATTTGTCGATTTGTAGAACACTTTAAAATACTAAACGCTTTCTGCAAACTAAAAAAACCAATAAAACAGGAAATCACCACTCGAAGCATTACCTCGCACCATTACGTCCATCCGCGCTCTACACAACTCGTTCAGCATGAGTATACATCATTTCGGCGTAGCCGTCGTTGACACGCCTTCTTACAGTCACCCGTTGCATTGTACATTCGTATATCACAGTTCTGGTCAGAGTCGAATATTTGCAACGTATTCAATCTCACCACCGTATCGGGACGCAGCTGCGTCGTTTGTCTCAGCAACGCTCTGCTGTGTTTTTTGGTGACATGCAATCTGAAGTGCCAGTCTGATGGTATCGCATGCATTGATTGACAGATTGCAACATCAGAAAAATTATCTCCAGGCGTGCACATTGTAAGTAATTTCTAAGAACGAGGATATCATGAAACTGAAGCTTAGCACAAGGGCAGTACGTATAAGGGAAGAAGCTCATGCGCACTGAAGTGTTCGCCTATCGCCAAAACGGCAGTTTACTCACGTGGCACTCACTCTTCTAACAGTACACTGCACAACTCGGTATGTGAGACACCAGCAAAACAGCATCACAACGAAGTTGTCAACCATGTGCCCAGAAAGGTGTTCGCTAATCGTCACAAGCGCAAATATGAACGTTCTCCGTAGTACTTGCTCGTGCTTGAAAGATCACTCTACACAACACGATCCACACTGTACCTCACCAATCAGTTCATCGTGCGATCACGAGGGTGTTCGCTATCATCTCGAAAGCCTCAAGCCTGCACAGTCTTCGCATCAATCGTGCTGTAAACACTGCACTTCGCAACACAGTCAACAAACCAGAAAGGGTGGCCACGTCAGCGAAGTCAGTCTTGCGACGATGTGGAACCTGCGGCTCAAGCATGGGCCGAAATACGGCCAGCGCGCTTTCACGAGAGGTCCACAATGGTCGACTTGACGCGCACCAATCCGCCGGACAGTACAATGTGATCATTGGTGACTTCGAACTCGAGGCAGTCGCCGTTGTCCAGGGCAACCGTGACGTCATCCTCGATGCCCAGCGGAATGCCCTCGTGGGCGTGCCGGCCGTTGGGACCGTTGTGCTCCACGTGGTAGGCGAACGCGTTTGCCGCGCTGTTATCCTGGTCGATCATCTGGACGACGGCGCAGTAACACCACCTGTCGTCGTCTATCTGCCTTCGACGCACGACCACGAGGAACTCGCGCCCGAAACAAAGCTGCATCTGCATCCAGTAGGAGATGACGTCCGCGTCGCTGGCTTCCACAGTGCAGCATAATCTCCTTGTCTGAAAGGGTAGAGATAATGACGTTGGGGAAAATCCTGCACTAACTTTTGTTTTTGTGTAGGTCTAGATGCGGTATTAAATCTTGCGCTTACTGAAGCTCCACTATACCGTGAAACCCAAGACAGTACGTATCACGGGCCATAAAGTTAGGCCCATAAATACACAAGAGGAAACTCTGGCGCTAGTTTTTATGGGAGCCGCAACGCACGGTGCTTCAGCGAGCATGGGAATGATAGGTAGTACACCGATTTGCCTTATCTTTGCTAGAGTTCACTCTAGTTAATTTTAGGAAACTATGGCCCGGCCAATCCGGCTATGACCTTGGCGCGTGGAACTGCCTCCTGAACAGCACGCTTGCTGAGGAGATGGCGCCCTCTTTAGAGCGGCGCGGGTATCAGTGATGTTTAGGGAGGATTTTTCTGATTTTAGGCAGATTATTTTCATTAAATCTTGGTTATTACTGGATTTTACATTACTTTTTTGCCATGTTTAGCTTATCCTGCACTGCTTTTGATCATTTTCAGCGTTCTATTAGGCATCTATGGACCACTCTGTGACCATGCTGCATAAAACGATGGACAGACGGCCTGCCGGGCCCATCAAGTTCTACGCACTGAGAACAACAGGTAAAAGATGACAGGTGAACCCCCGAATGCAGGAATGTTACTAACTTGAGCCAGCCTCAAGACAGCCTTGCCGCTCACCATAAATTGTTCTCAGATTTGCTGACGACTAGAAGGCAACCTGGCCAAGTCTCCGTATTCAGAAGAGCTCCTTGATTTAACTTGCCACCACCTTCAGAGCAGCGCAAACGCGTTTCTTACGCGCTGCCTTGAGGCGGTTGCAAGCCAAGTTGAAGAGAAGGAGCGTTTTTGGGGCGAAGCTTTATATGGACTAGGGCAGTTGATCCCTCCGGCATAGACAGCACAGCATATCCGCAGACAGACAGACAGACAGACAGACAGACAGACAGACAGACAGACAGACAGACAGACAGACAGACAGACAGACAGACAGACAGACAGACAGACAGACAGACAGACAGACAGACAGACAGAGGATTCACGGTTTATCGATGAAACCCACCGAATATTCGCCGCAGTCATCATCATTACCTCCGTGGATATGCTAAGAGTTTTTTTTACGGTGTAAATATAGTGAAAAAAGACAAAAAAAACAAACTGTGGTGGGAATTGCTATGGAGCGATCAAATTCGACCAAATTCAGGCGCCTTAATTCTCCCATTTGACAGCGCTGCCAGTCTCCACTAATCGAAACGTTAGTTTACTTTCTTTAGTTACTGTCGTAATGTTTTGACAATATTAGGACGTCGGTCTCCATAGACAAGGAACCTATTAAGATAGTGAGCAAAAATATCGCATTATCGTCATATTTATTAGACTTTTCAGACAGAATTTTCGAGCACCCTGTAATAAAATAATAATAATAATAATAATAATAATAATAATAATAATAATAATAATCACAGATTTGCCGCAGAGGCGAAGCAATGAATGTGATAGGAACAAATTGGAAGGTGACGCGCAGAATTGCAAGCAGATCGAAACGTGCATCGCCTTTCTTACGCACAAATGATGCACGAAACGTACTCACAGGTACACATGTACGCGAATAAGCGTCTCACTTGTTACTCTGCTGTGTCTGAAAAGCGTGCTTTTTTCGCAAACGGAGGCTGCAATGATTGCAGTGACCTTTGTGCGCCTGGTAACTACAACATAATCGTTCCAGGTAAAGCCCGAGATCAGCCAAAACGTACGAATCTCCTCTCCTCCGCACGGGAGATAAGTACTTGCGAGGGAGCATTGCTCCCCTCCTCTAAGCGGTGCAAAGTACGCGTAGGAGATTAGAGTGCCCGCCGCGCGCTCGTTGCGCCATCGGGCTGATGATACTGAAAACACGATAATTCCCCCTCCCCTGAGATGCCCGTGAGCAGCGGTGAGTGGTAGATATAAACAGCTCTCCGTTTGAAAGGTGAAGGACGTGCTCCTCGGTGGTTCTGTGGTTAACGCCTCGCACTCACGATTGAGAGGAGCCATGTTCGATTCTGTGCGCCGGAGTCTTTTTCTGGGTTATTTCTTGCATTTTCACATATATAGATAGGTATACATATACGGTGAGTGACGCCGGCGGCAAAATTCTGCTGAGAGTGTCCATATAATTGCTATCGCAATGATAATAAGTGCTGGAGTTTTGCGTCCCAAAACCATCATACTACGCGAGACGCCGCAGGCTCGGAACACCGGAAACCGAACACGTGGAATTCTTTTAGGCGAACCTGAATCAAAGTATACAAAGGGCTCTAACATTTCGTCTCCATGGAAATTCGACCACTTTGGCCGGCATTCTATTTCGCGAATTTCAAGTCAGGCAGGCGAGCGCAGACTACCGTGCAGATTGTACGCTATACCTAACATATTAACATATATTAACACATATTAACTAACATATTACCTTTCAATGCGCTAACGAAAGGGTGCGCACTGAGGAGATGTCCTCTCACTTCGTCCGCACATCCTTGCCACTGACACTGGCCGCTTGGGTGAGGACACCTGAAGAACCTGCAAAAAAAAAAAAAACATTAATGAGATGCTTGGGAGTTTTCGGAATAGAGGTCCCAAACATTTGGGGTGCGCCGAAGAAATAGCATCGAGACCACTGCGCATGCGCAAAACATTGTTTGGGTTTTGCGTAGTGTTAGGGAGGCTATTTTTCGAATTTAGCGGGCGCCCTAAAGCATGGCCCTAAAGCTGTGATATACGAACGGGACGTCACCTGCTGAAGTGACGGCTGATGTGCAAAGCGTTGCAGACACTATTCGTAAACTCGTAGATCCGGCTGAAACCAAAGCGTGCATACGGAAAGGGCTTTGGGACCCCAAACTTTCTGGGCCACTGTTCGAAAACTCCCTTTTAAGTGAGCCTTTAGTTTACAACATTAATTATTTTTCATATTAAATTGAACTAAAACTTCAGCCTTGATTTTTCACGCTAATAATGGATTCATGATCGTGGGACATGTGTCATTAGAGTTCCCAGAGGGCAGTTCGTGAATCAAAATCGTCATTGTTCTTCTTTAGCGTCCCTTTAAGACTAGTCATGTCTGTGTAACTTACCCGAACAAAGCGTTATTCATCGAAACGGACAGAAAAATAATGCGAGTACTATTTCGCAACTTCGTAAAGAGAGGCAAGGTCAAGAAAAAAAGGGAGACAAAAGCAGTCGTATGAGGGCGGGGTATACTACCGAAAGCGCGGCGGGCCGCATGCATTTTTTTTCTTTTTTGAGACTCCTGCACGAGAGATGATTGATTGATTTGTGCGGTTTAACGTCCCGGTGCCACCATATGTATATGAGAGAAGCCGCAGCGGAGGACTCCGGAAGTTTCGACCACCTGGGCTTCCTTAAAGGGACTCAAATGGTTTTGACGATTTTTCACAAACACATTGGGCCGGTAGACCAGGTCTCAAGGGCAATTTAGAGACCGGTTTGAGTTCTCTGCGTAAGCTGTGTAATTTCTTACAACGCTTTTAAGTTGCGACTTGCTCCAGATCACTGCAGATCGCTGCGACTCGGCCAAACGTGCTTTCAACCGCCCATACACGAAGCGGCACGCTCTGCCCCACTGACGTCATCGTTTCCAACTGATCTGATTGGCTGTGGGAGGCGCAGCACAGACTGCCGGTGTCCGATCGGTGGCTGTATTAACGCGTATTCGGTTGCACGCCACATCGTGACGCAGGCGCCGTTAAGGCGGAGCTTAGCCCCGAGTGCTCGAAGGAAGAGTTGAGGGTGAAAGGCAAAGCGGAGGAGGAGGGTACTTTTTTGGTACTCGTAGCTCCGTTAATAATGGGTGTTACGATTGAACTCTGGTGCCAATGGTTTGCTCCAGTAGTGGTCTAATAAAAAAAAAACGGAATGTGAAAAAACTGTTACATTGACCCTTTAACGTGCACCCAAATCTGAGCACACGGACCTACAGCATTTTCGCCTCCATTGAAAATGCAGCTACCGCAGTCGGGAATCGATCCCGCGGCCTGTGTGTCAACCGCCGAGTAGCTTAGCCACTAGACCACGGTGGTGGGGTCCTGTACGAGAGAGTATCGTGCAGTTATTGCAAAACGGCGCATACAAATACGCAACCACGGAGGAAGGAAAGGTGACCGGCGCGCCATCGAGGGCCCCATTTTTTTCCCGCTTGAGGGCGCCGGGTTCTTCCGCGGTCGCACCCACAACACCAGCGACGCTCGTGAGGCAATGCAGGCATCGCTTGAGACCAAACACACCTGAAGAGGCACACGCCCTGGTGCATCAGCTTGTCGGCCGCCGACAGCATCAAAGTGCAGCCCGAGGACTTGAACTTGCAGGGGAACTTGACCTTCTCGGCAATTTTTTCCAGGGCGAGGTTTCGAATGTCGTCTGCGCAGAGAGGCCGCGTGTGATTACAGCCGCCAGGGGGCGAGCATAGTAAAAAAAAAAAAAAAAAACATTGGTGCGGTTATGTTCTTAAATATGTCTAAAACTACAAAAAACAAACAAACAAACAAAAACCACGTACACATTCGATTTTTTTCTTTTTTTTTCACCGACGCTCTACTTTACCCTGACGGCATTCCGTAGTTTCGTAATCATTCTCCATCAGTGGTAGAATACTGGGCTGGCACCCAGCGGACCCGGGTTCGAGCCCCACTGTGTCTTTGGTACTTGGTTTTTGTTTCTAATTTAACGCGATGAGGTTACGGACACTGGCGGTGGACATCTACGGCGCTGCGTGAGACCCGAGTGTTGATCTCATAACAACTAATATATATATATATATATATATATATATATATATATATATATATATATATATATATATATATATATATATATATATATATATATCATTTACTATTTTTTATCCACTTTTATTTCTTTTTATTTACATTCCATTGGTTCTAATAACTTCCCCTGTACATTCCCGGGCATTACTGTCTGTTAGATCTCTCATATATATATATATATATATATATATATATATATATATATATATATATATATATATATATGGGTTACGCCTTTTAGTTGCCTTAAGGGAACGCATAACGCACCCTTCGATTATATTACTTTAAAACAACTTCGTACAGAGACGCGTCGAATATAACGGATAAACACAGCCTATAGAGTCCACTCACCCAGCTGTTCCCGACAGACGGGACAGGTATCCACGTTCGCCCTGCAGCTGGAACACACCAGGTGGCCGTTGCGGCACTGAACAATGGGCGGCAGCACGCTGTCCAAACACACGGGGCACTCGAACAGGCTCACCATGCTGTCCTCGGAGGCGGCCATCGCGACTTGGCCGTAATGCCGTCGCAATTTCTCGGGTCTTTCTCGTTTGGTCTCTGGCAGTGCAATTGGACAACCTTGACTTGTGGCCACCTCGTCTCGTGATCACGTTTCAGATGGGTCCTCGTGATGATCTGCAAGTCAGGCTCTGAAAGGAGAGACGAACAGGATTATTGACAGACGCATAGTTTTGCGCTGTATATCCGAAGAACGTCCGCGAATATGATTGCTGTTCAGGTCAGTCTTTACGCCCAAGTTCGACACGCTGACCAACGGACACTCTGGTCAAACGGACACTTTGGTCAAACGGATACCCTGACCAACTGACACTCTGGTCAAATGGACACCTTGGTCGAACTGCCAATTTGGTCGAATGGACAACATTGTCAAACGGACAACCTGGTCAAACGGACAACCTGGTCAAACGGACAACCTGGTCAAACGGACAACCTGGTCAAAAGGACAACCTGGTCAAAAGGACAACCTGGTCAAAAGGACAACCTGGTCAAAAGGACAACCTGGTCAAAAGGACAACCTGGTCAAACGGACAACCTGGTCAAACGGACAACTTGGTCAAACGGACAACTTGGTCAAACGGACAACCTGGTCGAACAGACAACCTGGTCGAACGGACAACCTGGTCGAACGGACAACCTGGTCGAACGGACAACCTGGTCGAACGGACAACCTGGTCGAACGGACAACCTGGTCGAACGGACAACCTGGTCGAACGGACAACCTGGTCGAACGGACAACCGGGTCGAACGGACAACCTGACATGACAGACGAACAGGATGATTGATAGACGCATAGTTTGCACTCTATATCCAAAGAATATCCGCGGACATTACTGCTGTTCAGGTTGGCCTTTACGTACAGGCTGTCAAAGTGAAATTGGTCAATGCTTACATGGTTTTCAGAAGTAGTTATCGGGCTGGTCGACTTGCACTGTCTTACTGACGACATGACTATATGGCCACATAGCGAGAAATGAGCCAAATAATAGGGTGAATGATTAAGATGAGCGCTAATCACAAACGTACCCTATCGAGGGTTTGGTCTGGAGAAACTGCCTGACATATTTTCAGTTTCCTGTTAAAAACGAGTCATCAAAAGAAACGCGTCGGTAAGATGCTTCATAAAATACCGGACTCATTAAGTAAAGTGGGTTGTTTCATTAGATACTGTCTAATAACATTTTGCCAGGCTCACTGAATGCGGCATGTTCAATATGGCTATTACCCCCTCAGGGGATCGAATCGGCCAAGAGTTCATTATATGACTTTGTTGGACTTTTTGACGACTGAAGTTTGATAATCAATAAGAACAACGTACGTAAATCGAAAAGAGTGCAATAACTGTTATTCACCAATTCAGATCACACACAAAAGTACTTTTGAATATAAATTAAAGTTCGAGAGAAAAAAAAATTAAATGAACTTTTCAAAATAAGTAATTATTGCAATAGTAATAGAAATTGAAGTAGGAATTTAAAGTCGCATTCATCTTGTTTCCCGAAGATACGTGGCATGAGACAGTGCTGTCGACGTCATCTGTTTCAGTCATTGCTTTTCGCGTGGGCTCTAAAAAGCAACACGTACATACTTTTAGTCCCCCCCCCTCCCTCTCTCAGTTTCGCCTGAAGTGTTTGGCAGAGAATCGGTTTTACAGAAGTGTGCCCTTTACCCGAGCAAAAACCTATGCTGTATGCCTTTTTGGTAATTACCTCACTTATGTAGACGAGGGAGGTGCACATGTCTGTTTAATTGAAAATATCCTGCTGTAATATTCTAACCTTACCTGAACTGAAATATTTAATTTAATAAATAAAGCGGTATTTTCGGTGTCGTACGCTATTGTGGAACATCCGCCCGCGACAAGCATTGAACTTATGCACTTCACTCGTGTAGCCCGAAAAGGGGGGGGGGGGGGTCCAACCTTTCAATTTCGCATGTGTATACATTGGCGCAAAGGTACAAAACGCACGCATGAACATCAAGTATAAATGAAAACCCACGGCTGCCTCCCACCCACGCACACACAGAAAAAAATTCTGGGTGGCTACTGGTACACTTTATTTGTGTCATATTGTCATAGAGGTGAAGCAAAGGAAGAGGAAGAACTCAAGCAGCTGATAGGCGCGCGAGGGTGTTAATCAGCCGTTGTGACTCTTGCCTGTGGGTTTTCCTCTGTAAACGCATTTTGTACAAAAGTCTCTAACCTCGTAACATATTGGTGAGAAGTGCTGGGTAACCCACAGGCAAGAGTCACAATGGCTGATTAACACCCTCGCGCGCCTATCAGCTACTTGAGTTCTTCCTCTTCCTTTACTTCATCTACGTGACAATATGATCGAAAGCTGTATGAATTGTAATAGATTGCGACACATAAAATTGACTATATAGGAAAGGCTCTCGGCAATGTTTTGTTGCGACAAGGCGCGCCCAATGTCGAACTTTCGCCATCGTTTTTTCTGACATCGTAATTGGTAAGCATGAACGTGTACACAACACACGCACAGGCATTAACAAAGAAGGAAAAGAAAAGTTGGCTACTGCGGCGGCTGCATTTCCGATGGAGGCGGAAATGTTGTAGGCCCGTGTACTCAGATTTGGGTGCACGTTAAAGAACCCCAGGTGGTCTAAATTTCCGGAGCCCTCCACTACGGCGTCTCTCATAATCATATAGTGGTTTTGGGACGTTAAACCCCACATATCAAAAGTTGGCTACGTACGACCGCACGAATAGCGAATTCGCAATACCTGTGCGTCATCCGTCGACGCCGATGCCAGCAGTTCTGCTGTTTAGTCACCAGTACCGATTTCGCCCCGTACACTGTTATCAGTTCGGAAAACCCTCGACGTTGTTGGAGTGGCTCGCTATGGACAAATGATAAATGGCCCAGCTTGCAGAACACTGCGTTCTAGCGTGCGATAAATGTTGCGATACGAAGAGCCAACATCAGAAACCGCAGATAAGCTTTTTTTTGTTTCTTTCTCTTTACGGACATGTCACTTTTTTTTGAAGCAGTGAAATACCAAAACCGAAAATAAGCTGAATCTTGTGGGACCGTAAAGCCTGCATAAGTACAGCGATACGAAATTCTTATTTACAGGATTATCCTGAGACGATTATTTGACACATACAAGAATGGTTTGACGTGCCACTTTTAAAATACCATAATCAAACGCTCTCCGTCACTGCGAGTTGTTGATCGCAATTAAACAACGTTGAGAGGAGTCTCCAGAACTTTTCTCTTCGAAAAAAAAGCAGCATTGCAGTGATTTGTATTATAAAGAATAACGCAAAAGTTTTCGACATCATGCACGAGTCTATACTTTAGATCCATAGAAGAGTCAATTGTTTTTTTACGATACGCACGGAAAGATGTTTTCTAGGCTTCTATTATATTTCCCAATGACAAAAACTGTATGTACTATACTTTTTAACCACAAATTTACGCAGAGAACCTATATTCAAGTGAGGGCTTCTAGGCTTCGGTTTCTATCCCTAGCATACATCAGTACTTGTGCGTTTCCAAGCTTCCCCATCACTTTCGCCAGTGTTGGGTAAAATTCTAGTTCAGTTGAACTTCAGGAGCACCACCAGGACATTTTCCTGTGTGTCGTTTCTTTCATACTTTATATATGTTCATAAGTGAATTTGCATATCAGCTTGTATATACCCACAGGCAATATTGAAGAATGAAGGGGGCCTAATATTCTGGTTTAGGCCCACCCCTTACGGGAATTTCATATAGGGCACCTAATTAAATTGTATCTGTCTGCATATGAGTGTATATGTCCGCATATTCGATTACCGATCACCATGTATGGATGTAAATATGGCCATATATGGCAAAATTGGTTTATATGGGGTCAAATACAGCCTTATGTTGCTGTATATAGGGCTCATTCATATATGGGTATATCAATAATTGGGTATATCAGGCCATATATGGCGTATATATGGATGGTCCTCATATATGCTGCCTGATATGCCCAATTTCTGATGCGTAATTATATGGGACTTATGTCAGTCCATATATGGAATTTTCGTATGGGACGTTAAAGAACTCCAGTTGCTCGGCATTGTCAGATTCCTCCCCTATACGGTGTCTGTCGTGGGCGGAAGTTTGGATCTTCGCCCCCCCCTCCCCCTGTGATTGAAGCAATGTCACACTCGATCTTTGTCTGCCCCTCGCTGCTTTTTAGCTCTTAACGTTCTCCTATTTATTAGGATTAGGCCCCTTTTACGCTAAAGCAAGACAAGTCTATGCTTGATGCGCACACTTGCTATTTCTTTAGTAGTTGGCGCCAACTCATCGCCCCGCAATCATTCAAGATCGAGTGTTTCTGGTATAAAGGACCCCGTCGACCAACATCCATTAACCAGCCACTCTCCAAGGCATGCTTATTATTTCTCTATCGCGCGCGCTAGCAATGAATCCAGGACACAACATCGTCTAATATCGACAGGGCATGCTCTATAGAAACGTGAGTGCACAAGGGACACAAGTGTGCTAACGGCGTGTTTTAGCGACAGAGACAACCAGCCGGTGTTATCTGCGCGATCATGTAATTCAGAATGCAGGCGTGAAGGGGACGTTCGTACCGATGATAGTGCTGCATCTCGTTATCACTGCACACTGCCGTATCCTGGAATAAACTTCCGCGTGATATAAAAAGATTGTTGGGGTATATGGCATCATAACGTCTCGGGCTGGCCCTATACATGCTATACATATATGGAAACGGAACTGCTGGCGCGTCTTTCCAGTTTTTCTTATTTGTCCGTTTGGATATGTAAAATACGCCTATCCGCTGATAACTGTAGGGGTTTTAAACCCTAAAACCGCAATATGATTATGAAGGGCGCCATAGTGGAGCGTCCTGGAAATATCGGCCACCCAGAATTCTTCTGCGTGAACCTGATATGTTAATCAACCTCAAGCATTGCACCTGCATTTAAATGCGGGCTATATGTACGTAGCGTTGTGAGTAGCTAGAAAACAGATATACCGAACGTCGTAATAACATAGCGGTATTACAGACTTCACAATAGGCGTGCTTTCGGTCTGGTTGGTAATATGTCACCTTGGAAACCTCGAGCGCTGTTTGGTGGGGCGTGGCCGTGAGTACTGCGCTATGGTATTGATGCAGTAAATCACTGCAGTCTTGGGTGTGCTTCGTGTTTCTTAGTGTTCTCAAACCGGTGCACACATGTACTCGAACTGGTGCGTGTGACTGCAAACTGGGAAAACCTACCGGCGTCGGTTGACGAGATTCACTCGCACACTGAAGGTCGTCGATATCCTCGGAAAGGCGTCACCGCGGTTGATCCGTTAGCTGCTGGCCGACCCCAAGCTTGCCTCCAGTTGTGTCCTGGCTGCCACACTGTCTCAGACACACCCCAACGATCGCCAGCACTGGTCACAACAAACACCACCCCGCACAGTCGCGTAACACGAATGCAACGCCCTTCCTTTCAACGAAACCGAAGCCAGTTGCAAAGAAGTGAACCATACGTATAGATAAGAGCCGGACGCAGCGCTCCCCATGGCCCGCACGTATATATGTGCACGTTTTGATAGCGCCCAGTTGCGCGGATGACTTCAGCGCCGGCCTACATCCTCTTGCGCATAGTTGGCGGCGTCGACTGCTGCCTTGTTGCGTGTACTGACAGGAATTTTGAGCCCATAAAGAAAAAGACATCCGCGATATGAGAAGACAGGACTGGGAGGCGGCGATTGCCGCCTTGTCATTGAGCGTCGCTGTTGTATTTGCAATTGCTCTTGTCTATGTCGCAGTATCACACGCTAAGTAGCAGTAGTGGTTGCAGCAGTGGTTGCAGCAATATCAGTTGCAGTAATGATGGGATTAACATTAGTTGTATCTATGAGCCATGGGTACGTGTGCGCGGGAGAGGGGAAAGTATTCAGTTATTGACTCCAGCGTTCTCTCTCCTTCACTTGCCACTGCTTGCTCAATATAGAATTTCAATATACTACATTATCTAAAGGAAATGATGCACATTCATGTTTCTAAGGTAAAATTAGGAAACTGCTTGTTTATTGCGTTAATAACTGCGGCGTTACGTCAATTTTGTGAAGTTGTCTTGTATGTATGCGTATGCCATTCGTTACGAGATAACCAAAATGTATGACCTTGTTACTGATTCCACTTAAAATGGTTCTTGCTATTCCTTCTTGGTTATTGTTTTTCCAATGTATTAACATAGAAGGTTTCTTTTTGGGTTTGTAACCTCGGTATTTCCTTCTAAATATTTATCTGGACCGTATTAGCTTTCTGACGTGACTGATGAAGATTGGTTAATTGATTGATTGATCGATCAGCCATGTGCCCCAACCGCCTGCCTTCAGTCCTCGGCCATCCATGTCTTATTGTGGCAAGTAAATGGTTCCTGGAGTGGAACATCAAGGCTCCTCAGTCGCCACTAATGGCGATAAAACTCAAAACAAATGCGACGCTAGCGTCGCACTTGTTAGCAAACTTTGACGAAGACCGGTCGACCGTTCGAAACCGTTGGAAATAAAATTAAGAGAACCGCTATGTTGTGTATCTTCTCTTTCAATATATATATATATATATATATATATATATATATATATATATATATATATATATATATATATATATATATACTTTGTACATGCTGAACGCGAAACAGCGTGCCTAGAGAAGCCAAAAAGTTACAAGTATGTGGGTTTTTTGTAAGCTTTTGGCCCGTCCAAACGTGCTGTCTTAATTACGTTCAAAAGTCATATAGGTTTTCAGTAGATACATACCTTTATATTTTTGTTCTACAAAGAAATCGCACTCAAATAAAATTATTTTCAATATGTCACTTATATGACAAAAACCAATACTTTCCATATATTTCGTAAATGAAGACTATGTATGAGCATACACGAAGTGGCGTGCGTTACCGTAAACTGTGAAAACCCTACCGGTGTCGGTCGACGAGATTCACTCGCCTGAAGGCGGTGGATGTCTTCGAGCGGGTGTACGCAATAGTTCATACGTTTGCAGCTTGTTGTCCCAAGTTAGCCTCAAGTTGAAAACATCCGGTGCCGCCGCTGCCACGCTGTAGCCGAGAGACACCCAACGCTGTGCAAAAGCACTTCACCACCTTGTGAAGCCGCGCCGTGGGAATTACATAAGGTCGACGCGACAGTTTCCTTTTGCTCAGTTCATTAAATGGGAGTGGACGATATGCAGATAAGGGCCACGCACAGTTCTTCCCACGGCCTGTGCGTTTTGATAGCGTGCTGTTGGGTCGATGATGCCAGTGCTGGCGTGTCCATTACTAATATTTACCGTAGCCATTTTCGGGACCAACGAGTGTCCCCTTCTCAGAGAGCAGGAACGTTACTACTGCACTCGTACTTTCTATTTATGTTGCTGTAGCAGCGTACTGCGTATAGCAATAGTGGCAGTAGTAGTACTCGGAAATGAACGACTCCCCCCCCCCCCCCCCCCCTTTTGTCCGCACGCTTATTATTCGAGCTGTGATCGCATTCGATATCGCAAACTTGGCATGCTTCAAGATGTTTAGTTAGAGAATATTCACTATGGCTTGAAGAATACTCGGTGAATTGGATACGCAATACGTTGTTAAAAAAAAGGAAGAAAGAAAAACCCCTTGTGTCTGCAATCTGCAAAGTGCTGTGTTGGAATTTTGTTTCTCTCTCTCTCTGCAGTTGAGAAAAACGCTACTTCTCGAAGCCCAAGCTAACTAGACATACAACGCAAAAAAGGAGAATAAAAAACAGTTGGCTGCTTTAGTAGCTCTATAGCGTCTTTTTTTTTGCATGTATTAGGCAGTGTTCATTTGACATTACGTTCGCATATGCCTAGAACTAAGCGCCTCACGAAAATATCCCCAGACCTCCCGCCAATAAGCGTAACACGTAATCTGTACAAATTTTTTTAGATGCCCCCTTTCCTTAATTTCCTGTGCCACTCGAACTGAAAATTATAATGCGCTGCAAAGTATAAAATACACTGAGGCACAGCCTTTGAGCAGCTCTTTGATATTTATAATAATAAGTTTATTAGTTAACAAACGACTTCATTTGATGTTGCGACGTGGGAACTAAGAATGCATTGGAATTACGTTTCAGGCAATCCACTGAGTAGCTTAGCAGGCTGAGGTGTAGTACTGTTGCACTCTAAGTCGCCGGTTAAGTTCTAATTCACGACGCCCGCTTTTCAACTTCACTGAAATGTAAGCTCACTCGCGTACTTAAGTTAAGGTCAATGTTGAAGAAACAAACGTTGTCAAAACTAATCGGGAGGGCCCAGCTAGCTACGTCGTACCTCACAATGATCTCGTTCAATCAGCACTTAATATGATGGTGATTTTAGGGATGAAACTTCTTAAGCCATGGATCGTGCGTCCCCGATGCGTGTAGCCACGTCTCCTTTAGTCCTTGGAGTGTCTGCTGGGTGGCGGTATTTGTATATGATGAATATACGATGAAAAGATGCGAGATGGCAGTACTTAGAGTGATCACTAGATGGACGGACGCATGGAGGCACGGACGGACAGAAGCAAGAACGAATGGACGGACGGAAGCACGGATGAATTGACGAACGCTTCGCCCCAGTCATCACTCACTTCGTGAATATGTTGTGATTTTTTTATGCGTAGCTTGAGTTGATGCCGACTGTTAATTCTGGAACTTTATGAGGGATCTAAGACAAGGCAAAGCGGACCTTCGAACAGGAAGTTCTGTAACCTTCTTATTTCACGTTAAGTGACGTCCAAATGACACAATGATGACTTCGCATGTTTGGTGATCTGTGACGCCTTGGTGGAATCGTCATGCGATGCTTATATTTTTTTTGATCACTTGTGTCGATGCCGACGGCGTTAATTCTCGCGTTTGGCGAGGCATATAAGGTAGTTTGCCTCAAGACGATATTGTCTCTAGCCAAAAACGAGAGGCGTCATCGTGCGATGGTCAGCTAACTGAGGAAGAGGAAGCAAGCAAAGGGGCGCGTGTCACGGGATCCGTCGCGCTCACGTTCGCAGAAGAAGAACGCTCCTCGTGAGGTGTGGTCGTGTTCGGCTTCGCTGGAACGCCCGTAACCGCCAGGCTGCTGCTGCCTTCATGGAGGAGAGTCCATTCGCCTTCAAGGGCTTCTTGGTGGAACGTGTCCTCGACCACCTGGAGACCGAGGAACTGCTCGCCTGCGCCGAGGTCAACCGGCTGTGGCAGTCGGTTGCCCTGTCCTTGCTGCGCAGGAAGCTGATCTCCGTCTCCGTTCGCTGCGCGCCAGTGAGTCGCGTCGCCTTCGTTTGTGGTACAGGTTCGTCTAGGATAAAGGCGATGAAACAGTCTGTCGATACGAATAACTTCAGTTTCGTGCCGTTTTGGACTCCAGACAAGTAATGGCATTACGTAACCATCAATGGTTGGGGCTCCGACCTGATGTTGTGTGGAAACCTGGGTTCCAGGACTGCTCTACGACACGCGCAACAACTGCAGAGACCATTACATTCCATCATATTCTATTCGAGGGACGCGAGGTTTGTTTTTCGGACAGCCCGAGAGCTCACACGTGAGCTGGAACCATGCCGTGCGCTATAGCCATCTCGATCGTCCCCCAAGCAGCTGGTGAAGGGCCCAGCCTCTTGATAAATATTAGAGTAGTTTAGTCTAGAAATCTCAAGAACGTGATCGCTTCACATTCATAGGAAAGGTGGGTAATCTCAAAGTTTTTAGACGGGGTCTACCGGGAATAAAATGCCATATCTACGGGAGTGTACTGCAGTATTTCGTCAATCACAGAAGGTAACATATGCCTGTGTCGGTTTAGGGTCGTTGCTGTGTGGCCGATCACTTGGTCGTTTCCAATTGCGGCTTTATTTACCCCTCTCGTTTTCGTGATTAACTGTTCTATTTGATGGCTAGCAGCAAGGGGTGCCTCGGAACATGAAGGCTGTGGAACAAGGTCGGCCCAAGGCGCACTAGTAGCCGTACGTTTACTTCTTAACCGCGTAGAACCAGTCCTGGTCGGTGGACTTGCAACTTATATGGTGCGCGAGCCCGTGTGCATTCTGTTCAGATGGCTATAGTGTTGTGGGTCAAGCTTTGTGTAGAAGCTTGGACGTGTTGATGGAGTACACTTAAGTATTTACAGAGTATACAAAACGGAGTACAGGACAGGCTTAGTCAAAGAGAATTGACAAATGCTTCTTTGCGTATGCCCAAAGAAAGTGAGCGACTGCGCGAACGACAGTAAGGAGCCTAAGTGAAAAGCCACTCTTACTAGTGGCGGTTCGTATACATGTCTAAAGAAAATAAGCAGCGCTGCGAAACACGGGACAAGGCAGAGAACAATTGAATACTGTACTGCGCTGGACTCGACGCTTACACCTTTGTCTTTTCTGTTCTCACTGTTACTCGTTTCCTTTGGACATATACCTACCAGCCTAAATGAGAGCGCACATACGGTTCATCTGTATGCCTATGTTCTGCCTGTACGGTCTGCTAATCTTGCGTGCGCTGTTGAAAGTTTCAGCTCCAGATTTTGATACCGCCGTGTATATTGAAGTTATATTTCGGGCACGTTGTACGGAGATAACCTGAGCTTCCCCACTCCCCCGTTGTCCTCTCTTGCCCCCTTTGCTCAGTACAGACGATCAGCTCAGTATAGAGCGTCTGGCTTACCGTATACTCGGTAACAGCGTCATAATGCGCCAGCGGTCGCCCTGACCAACGTCAAGTTGAACGATGAAACTGGGTGCGTAGCGCTACCCGCCATTTATGCAAGATGGCGCGCTACTTCCTCGCAGGACTCGGAGAGGGCCGTCCCAGTGTCGGCGCTGGGCAGCTCCCACGTGTGCGTGGACATATTCTGCTCAAAGTTCGCTCGCTACCGGAACATCGCACGCCTGGCGGGGCTACGGCCATCGCTGGTGTTTCTATCTTACCACGCCGACCTGAACGAGGACAAACGAAGTAAGTCCTCCTCCAGTGGCTGATGTACATTTTAAATATTTTTAACCACGAAAGTGTTTTGGGGCGGTGTTCAACAAGTTTTCACGCACGTATTTTTGTCACTGAAATAGATCATTATTGCGTCACGGAAATAGGTCAGTGACGTATTTCTTTTGCGGAAACAGGTCAGCACTAGTGGGCTTTTCACAGTCTTGGCCCTTCGTAAACTAAAATAATGACCTCGCAGTTGTTTTGTCTAGGCAAATTTGTGCGAAATTAGCAAAAAAAATCTGTTCAAAAGACGGGACGAAAAAAAAAAACAGTACATCAGGACCAGTGCTGAGCAGGTCAGCACTGGTTCGCATTGGTCAAGAGGTCAGCACTGGTCCTAATGTACAGTATCTTTCGTCCCGTCTCTCGTGCTGATTTTTTCCTGCAAATGCCACACCAGTTTCCCCAGGCAAAAACTCTGCGACTGCACTAACATTGTCACAAAGGCACAGGGACGCAGGTACAAAAGCACGGCGTTTACTTTCGTGACCAGAGGCCGAAAGCAGGAACACTAGAGCACGCGCCCACAGAACTACTTCGTTATCCTCCTCAAAGGCTGACCACTATAGTTGCCAGCCTACCTTGCGTCAATTCCCCCCTTTAAAGAGCGACCGTCCTGGTCGATTGACTAAGATGCTAGAGATGGCCATAAAAAAAAGGTAGTCACGTCAACAAAAAAAAAAAAGCATTAGCCCGCGCTGTTGTGGATAATAAAAAAAGTTCGAACTGTTCATAACTCGCGGGCGTGGTGGGGTTCATCCGTACTAAATGGGCTACTTCTGGACGTGGACGTCTTCGGCTTAAACCGGTATCCGAGCTTTGAGAAACTACCTCGTAATTCACGTGACTGAGGCAGCGCACAACTTCGTAAGGGCCAAAGTAGCGTCGCAATAGCTTCTCCGAAAGCCCACGATGTCGAACTGCTGTCCACACCCATACATAGCCACCTGGTTGATAGTGGAAGTTCCTTCGGCCTTGGTTGTAACGGCGAGCGTCGACATCTTGCTGCGTGCGAATGCGGTTTCGTGCAAGCTGGTGGGATTCCTCGGCTTTCTCAACGAAGTAGTCAACGCTGTCATTTCCGCTGGTGTCCTGGTCTACGGGGATCATAGCGTCTAACGGTGTTGTGACGCGACGGCCATAAACAAGCTCGAATGAATTGAATTGAATTGAATTGAATCTTTATTTTCATGTCTGGTACAACATGAAGGATGGCGGGAGTAAAAGCTGCACTCAAACAGCTTGACTAGCTCCCGCTACCTAAAAATAAATGGGTCACAAGCAGTGGCATACCAATGATTACAAAAGCATAATGTACAGAAATTCCCATGCTATTGGGAATAAAATAATTACATAATCTGAACGTAAACAGGATACAACAGTTCCTACGAATAGAAGAACAAAACATCAGTAGCTTGAAGAGGCTGTGTATACATGTGTTGAAAAATACATAAGAGGTCAAACGGATACAAAAGGGTAGATTTCATCATAATACAATTTATAAGAACAGAGATGCAATATTTTTTGTGGTCATGGTTTCTATATTTACGTCATTGCTGCTTAAATAATTCAACATTCTGGGAATAACACTGCGTACCATTTGGTCACCATACTTTGTGCGTGATCGTGGTATTAACCAGAGGTTATGCTTACGGGTATCATATTTATTTTCCGAAGGTTGCAGGTTGGCTAAGTCAGATAGTACAGTTTTTTGCTTCAGCTCTTTTTTTATAGTCCTACAAATGTTGTAACTGTAAAGATTTTGTAAAACTGATTAGTTTATATTTTGTTGCATGTACATAACTGATTGATATGGTTCTTTCTTAGCAATAATTTTCAGAAATCTAGTTTGAAGTCTAGTAAGCTTCTCAATATTTGTTTGTGTTGTGTCACCCCATACTATAAAGCAATAGTTTACATAGGACATAAATAAGGAATGATAAATAATAAGTATTGTTTTTAATGGAAGTAGATAATTGTTGCGATAAATTATACCAAGTACACGTGCCGTTTTTGTTGCCACCTGCTCTACTTGTGCATCCCATAGCATGTTGTTTGAAAATACGATACCTAATGTTTTGACATTGTCAACTATTTCAATCAGACTGTTATTAAGATAGAGCGGAGAACTTACTTGTACCTGCTTGCCTTTTGCTCGAAATATAACCGCTTTGGTTTTTTCCGCATTTATTAATAGTCCATTGGAACATGCCCACTTATATATCTTCTCTAATATATTATTTGCCTTTTTGAATCAACTGGTCAGTATCGTTATGTGCAAAAAATACGCTTGTATCGTCCGCATAAATAACGAATTTTGCTGAAGGGTCTATGTTTACAATATCATTTATATACAAATTAAACAGGAATGGACCTAAAATACTGCCCTGAGGCACTCCAAGAGAATTTGGTTTAGTCACCGAAGAAAAATTGTTTGTGCACACGTATTGTTTCCTTTCGCTTAGATATGAGTCGAGCAAGTCTAAAGCAACACCTCGTACACCGTATAACTCCAGCTTATGTAAAAGTAATAGTCTATTCAGAGAGTAGAAGGCCTTACTGAAATCGATAAAGACACCGAGTACTAGTTGTTTACATTCTATGCTATTTAGAATGAACTCTTTCTGATCAAGGAGGGCAAGCTCAGTCGATCTATGTTTCCTGAAACCATATTGTGCGTCACATAACATATTATGTTTGTTAATGAATTCTGCCAGCTGGGAGTGAAGAATTTTTTCTATTATTTTAGAGAATACTGGCAAAATTGAGATGGGTCTATAGTTTGCTAAATTATTCTTATCTCCCTTTTTGTACAAGATGCACACTTTAGCAGTTTGAAGTATTGTAGGAAAAATTCCTTTTCCCAAACAAAGGTTAATAATTTCAGAAAATGGTTGGGCAATTATTTCGGCGGTGTGTTTAATTGGTTTGATTTGAAAATCAAAACAATCACAGCAGTTACTATTTCTAAGCCGCATGATTGTTTTATGTACCTCGCTTTCACATGTAGGTCTTACAAACATAGTACTTGAGCATTTATTGGAAACGTATGATGTCGCATCAAGAGATGTTTCTGGAAAAGCTAAGTTTACTAGATAATCGTTAAATGTATTGGATAAGTTACTACCATTAATAACACAACCATTAATTGTAATTTCCGTAATTACGCTATTTGAGGTGGGTGTTCCTAACACTTTATTGATGTTTTTCCAAGTGGAAGCAGAATTTCCAGCTGATTGCATAAAAATGTTATGAAAGTAGTTTTGTCTAGCCTTTTGGATGTCCTTATTTAGACTGATTACGAAATTTTTTGAAGGTACTAAGTAGCTGTGGGTCACGAGAGACGAGAAATGCATTATACATTACATTCTTTTCATTGATTTGATGCAACAGGTCCCGTGTGATCCATGGCTTCCTAATTTTTTTAGATGGGCGGTGGGTAATTCGAGGGAAGTTATGGTCATATACCTCCTTGAATTTTTCTATGAATGTATTGACAGCAATGTTCGGGTTGTCATTTGCGAGAACATCGTTCCAGGATGTATTAATTAGTTCCTGACGAAAATTTTCAAGATTTTTGGATGTTATAGAACGCACTGGTATGGAAAGTCGTTTCTTTTTTATTCGTTGCCTAATAGCTAAAAATATGGGAAGGTGATCGCTAATGTCGCATGAAATGGTCCCAGCTTTAGTATCCTCAGAACTAATGCTCGTGAGAAAGACATCAATTAATGTAGATGAACAGGCAGTAACTCTTGTTGGCATATTAATCATGTTAGCCAATCCAAAGCTATCAAACAAACACGTCATCTCATGCTGTGAAGTTCCATTAGACAGCATGTCAATATTAATATCGCCGCCGCAAACAGTTACATGGTTATTGAGCATAGCGTGGTGAAATAGGCTCTCCAAACGAGCCGTGAAAGTTGTAATACTTCCAGATGGAGGACGGTACATAACTGAGATGACGTAATTGCTTAGGACAGCTGTCAGCATTTCACAATCAGGCTCTGAATAACAAAATTCTGTTAAGAGTTGACAATCAAAGGTTTCTTTTACAAGTAAGCAGACACCACCCCCTCTACTGTGCGTGCGATTAACACAGAAAACATTATAACCAGGCATAGAAAATGGGTTATCATCATTTGTGTACCAAGTTTCAGTCAGCATGATGATGTCAAAGCGGAAATGAAGCTCTGAAAACAAGGAATTTAGCGATGCATATTTGTTTCTCGCGGACTGACAGTTTAGCTGAAAAATTTTTATGCCAGGCATATAGTTGTCTCCAATGTATTTATGTAGATCTGATGGTAAAATGAACATGATTCCTAAAAAGTAAAGTTATGAACGATTCTGATTTTTCAAGCCAATTTAGAGAAATCTTCCTTTCTCTTCACCAGAACGGCAGGAAAACCATCTCTGCGTCTCATTAGAACTTTACCGTTCGCACACCACACAAAACGGACGTCATTCTCTCGCGCCCATTGTTTTGCCTCCCGAAGTAGAGTTCGCGTTTGTTTGGTTAAGTTTTCTTGAATCATCACTTCGGATTTGGTATCCCTGAGCTTCTTACGACTATGTAGCCAGCTGTCTCGAACTGACTGTTGTGAGAAACGTACAATGATGCCCGGGGTCCTTTCCGCCTTAGAGGGAAGGCGGTGTATCGCGGTAACATCAGTTCCTGTCAGAGCGGGCATCGCAATTGATGCAGCAATTGCGTTGACCTTATCCAATAAGTTCTCGTGCTCAGTCTTACGAATTCCATGAAACTCGAGATTCAGCCTTCTGTTATGCCGCTCTAGTTCGTTCAGTTCACCTTTTATGTCTAGAATTTGTTTAGTGTTCGAGCTTGATTCTGCGGAATCAACTTTCCGTTTCATATCTGACAACTTGTTATCCTGTTCCTTAATGGCTGTAAGTACTCCATCATATTTGTCAGACAGCATTTGGACACTGGCCTCGATATGGGCAATAGTATCCTTCAGGTTTTTCACTGTCTCTGTTAACTCTGCAATGGCTAAAACACTGGGATGATCGACAACCTTCTTTGCCCGTGCTCCTCTGCATGTGGGACAACGCCACTGTTTTTTTGTTGCATCGGATTTCGCTCTAAATGTTCTTTCACTTATGCCTGAGCAAGTTCCTATGTGATAAGAACTGAGGCATTCGCTGCACACCATGCAATCATCATCAGAACCAACACACAAGCCACAATCAAAGCAAGGTACATTAGCAACAGTGCTCATGGTGACAAATTCTTGGGCAACAGTATAGGGCACAGTTAAGTGTGTAGTGTCTTAAGAAATAATAAGAACGTGATGCGATTCACAAACCTGTAAACGTAGAAATGTAGTTTTAGGACGCGCCTTTCCTGTGCCGCTGCTGCTGCCCAAGTGAAGACGGCGTCAGTGGAACTTCCTTTTAAAGCTGCTAGAAGGCAGGGGGGCGTCTTCGTCACGTGTGGTGTCCTCTGCGCTCGGCTTGCTGATGACAGCCTTACAGACACGTGTACGTTCGCGATCCGAGATTCCTAATACAGTTGACGCGGACTGAGAGTTCCACGCAACGTCCTGCGCAGCCGGTCACCGGCTACTCCTTCGCACGTGTCGAGACAGCTGCCCAAAACCTCGCCAGGCAGGAAACACTGTAAACGTAGAAATGTAGTTTTAGGACGCGCCTTTCCTGTGCCGCTGCTGCTGCCCAAGTTCCTGTGCTGCCCAGGCTGCCAAGTTCTGTGCTGCCAAGTTCCTCTGCTGCCCAAGTTCCTGTGCCGCTGCTGCTGCCCAAGTGCTGCCTAACCTCCACCTTGTGATTGCGACTTCAACTGCACGCGTGTCACATAACTTAGTGTTCCAACGACAATTCAGGTGTGGAAATTTCAATGTTTTTATCAATGTGTTTTCAAGCTATAAAAAGGCAAAAATTAAATGAGAAATATACAACTAGTAACAACGAATACAGAAAATGAACCACATGGTTTCACCTACAACAATGAATGAATAAAGAAATTTCAAGCTAAATAAAGGTAATTTAGTAGTAATATTGGTTCTACAGTCTCAATCTTTTTGAAGCTTTAATAAACTCATAGAAGGCATCGGCAACTTTCCCGTCAGTGAACCCCAGAGACAAAGCCCCCCCAAAAAGTGCATTTGGAGTGGTCAACTTCGATTTTACGAGACGGAAGACGGCATCTAATGTGATTTTGCGCAATGCAGCGTATTACTTACAATATATCAGATAATGTTCTGATGTCTCAGTGACTCCACAAAACCAAGATTTAGAGGAAGCAGCCAGACCAGCTCTGTGTAAATAAGAATTTAGATATGGATTATGAAACCTCCACCTTGTGATTGCGACTTCAACTGCACGCGTGTCACATAACTTAGTGTTCCAACGACAATTCAGGTGTGGAAATTTCAATGTTTTTATCAAGGGTGGCAAAAAAAATTCTTCTAACATAATTTTCTTCCGAAATCTAGCCCCATAACAAAGTTAGATACTGGAAGTATGTGGATGACTGGGCCATTTAAAGATGACTTAGCTAATGCATCCACCATTTTATTGAAGAAAATTCTCTTATGCCCTGGTGCCCAAACCAATTTAACAAACTGTATATACGGTGTAACTAATTTTTCAAAAGTACTCAGCACGTGGGAGTTGTCATGTGCAGTGAGAGAAGAACAGAGCGACAGCGATTCAGTTAAAATTATTGCCTAACTAGTTGGTGCGGTTAATATGCGGAGAGCCAAATTTACCGCAAAAAACTCTGCTACAAAATTGGGTACAAAATCTGGAATGCGTAGAGAAAATGACCAATCTAGAATAAGGGCGAATATCCAAATTCCACATTTTTCTTCATGTTACGAAGCAGCTGTCACATTTAATGTCCTTATTGATGAATGAGCCAGAAAGTCTCTCAGAATAGAATTTAAAGTGCGGTCCGACATTAGTTTCGCTTGTTTTGGAAAATCTTGTCAAACTGCATTTTGATGCAGCTGTTGCTATCACTGATCAGAGATACGGCCCTCATTTGGACAATTAAGGTGTCAAGTAAGCTCTGTATATGGAGAATTTCGAGGCGTGTGAAATCTTGGCATGTATGCTAGAAAGAACAACTCAGGGTAGGAGATAAAAACTGTTTCGGAATGCCTTTCTGGGGATTCATTGTGTTTTAGAAATGGTTGCACCGACAATAATTTGAAACGGGGATATAAGTGATGGGAGTCTAGCTTTCATATACAAGACTTTAATGGTTACAAATTTAGGAAGACTTAAACACAGACGGAATGATTGCCTCTGAAGTATTACAAGCGAGCAAAGCTTATAGGTGTACGTGGACGCGAGGCAGGGTTGGAGGGAGACAAGGAGGAAGAAGAGGTGAGAAATACTGTAAGAAATGTTTTAGGACGCGCCTTTCCTGTGCCGCTGCTGCTGCCCAAGTTTGGTATGTGGTCTCTTCCACAGTGGTATTATAAGCAAACGTGGCGTACGGCGAAACTTGAACCCACGTTTTGTGCTCTACATCAACATACATTGATAGCATGTCGGTCATTGTTTTTTTAACCGCTCACATGGGCACAGGGATAATGGCACAAAAGCAGGGCGTTCACTTTCGTGACCAAAGGCCAAAAGCACGAACACCAAAGCACGCGCCCACAGAACTACTTCGTTATCCTCCTCAGAGGCTGGCCACTATAGTTGCCAGCCTACCTTGCATCAATATTAGTCCATCAAGATCCAGGACAGTGAAAATGTCGGCAGCAATTTGAAGAAAATGTGACCTAACTCCTGGATTTGAAACAAAGTCTTCCTAATGTCACGTATAAGTCATATACAAAATCCGTCGGCCATTGCTTGACGTCAGGCTTCGAGGAAGATCTAGATAGGGATTACCAGAATGGGAAATTCTGAAATAGCTTTTGTTCCGTGGTGATCTTTCATTACGGTAACCTCCCTTAGGAAAAAAATGCTTGAGACCTGTCCCGTATCCGTATAACTGAACCGAGCAAAGCTTTAATAATCACTACAGGCGAAAAAATGTCGCAAATAATATCTAGCAAAAGCAGTCACAAAATATATTCCTTGAAAAGCCGTGAGCCGCTTGTAAGAGGTCCAGGGGTCGCATGAGACTGGTGGGTCGTGAGTGCACAAAAGTCGACGTGCGTGTGCCTCTAACGAAACCGAATTCATGGAGTAGAGTTATCTCCAGAATTTTTCAGTGCGTTGCGTTTGATGAGTCGGGCTTGTTGTGGGAAATAACCGAGCCTGGACGAGGTATCTGAAAAAAAAACAACAGAATGCGACTTAAGGAGATCGAAAATTGTGTTGATTAATAACCCGACAATGACATGATGTCAAGCTAGAATGGTTTTCGGATGGTTGCAGATTCTTTGGGCAGAAAATACATGTTTACTTTCATGCCAGGCTAATAGTACGCAGACATTCAAGATCCACCAAAGGAGGAAGGATGGGAGGCAGCCTTCTCCAGCTCTGTCCTCGAGAAGTCCTCGTCTAAATAACCAGGGCCGCTTCTTCAGCCAACGGAATACAATAAGCATTGCACCACTATTCCCTCGATTCCCTTCATATTCTGAACGATAGTTATCATCATTTCTGTAGTGATATTGCACTCCATGATTATCGGCCTCCTGCTACGCGAGAATTTCGCCGCTGCTTCATTTCTTTTCATTTTCTTTCACGTAACCGTAGTACGCCTGCGTGAGTTCCTGCCTCCGGATTCGGTCATCGTGTACTGCAAGCTCGAGCTTGCCCGAACCATGTACGACGACGTCCTACACGAAGGTATCTTTGGCGAGTTTCTGTTCAGCGCCGATGAAGAACGGTCCTCGGAGTCTGGTGAGCTGCCACATCTACAACTGGTGGACGGCGCCGTTCCCGGGTGAGTGCTTCTTACAGTTAGCACTACGTGCACGCCAACACTTGACCACCACGGCGGGGCCAGAATTGAAATTTAGCCGTCACTGAAGAGAGTTCGTAATTCTGTGAAGAGAGTTCGTAATTCTGTTTGTAATTCTGTGACGTTTAGTTTATTAACACACACTCCGTTTGCTTTTTCGCTTTACTCACTGAATGTTTTAGTTTGAGGAGCTAAATATTGTCAGTTGATATCTGGGACCAACCTTCTAACGAGCGCAATGAGCATATTTGCCCCCGGAGGCGATAAGAAACTCGGGAAGAGCTTTATGCAACGTTGGACACTTATTTGCTATGGTATGAACTAAGCCCGGAGTTTTGTTCATAGTGTAAGCTGTTATATTACAAGGTCACACAGAAACATTTGATACCAAATAAGGAGAGTCTTTCAAATATACATAGGCACTTGCTTATAGGATGACTGCATATCTAGGTACTTAGTCGCCATGCAGGCCCGGTATATGGACATGTAGATTAAGTACCGAGTAGTTACGTCAGTTGTATTTTATCGCAACTATTTTATTGCGATGGTAGAAGAGATGGGCACGAGCATGAGACGTGTTAAAGACAAGATAACTGCTGGTCATATAGTTACGGAAGGAAAACGAAGACAAGGGAATCATTTCAGGAGCAGGCAGGTGGTTAGGTGAGAAGAACTTTTCTGCAAATGAATTGGATGCAGTAAGCATAGCAAACAACTAATTGGAGAAACATGAATAAGGCCCTTGCGTTGCTTTTAGAGGCAGTGGTAATGTGTCTGCCTGAGCCCGGCGCGCTGGGAAGTGAAAATGCTCGTCGTGTGACTAGAGTATAAGGTGAAAAGGCGGAAAAGTTCGTACTGTGCGCAACCTCTTCAAGATCCTCGAAACTCCTGTAGGCCGTTGTCTTTGCCATCTGGTCCGAGCCGCCACAAGGCGTGGTGGCGACCACGGATCGATGGCGCACGGACGACGCCGCCGCTGGACATCGAAGCGGTCCTGCCCAGCCCGTCCACCTCGGCGGCGCCGCTACAATTTCCGTGGGCGCACGGATACCGTCAGGCGTCGGCGGTGGGTGGTGATGGAGGCGCCGTCTTCCGCAACGTGCTTCCGGGCGTCCTCGTCTTCAAGTCGTTGCGCGTCACCGAGGCTAACATCGAGGGCAACGCGGTGACCTCGCACTTCGTGAAGGAGGCTACCGAAAAGACCGTGCAGGTACAATTGTGATCGAGACGCGGGCTACGGGCATGCACAAGACAACGATGTAGTTGTAGTCTAAGTGTGAGATGACACTTTGTTGGTAACAACTTCATTGTGTAAGAACTTTATTGGCGAGATGACACTGTCACATAACATTCACTCAACACCTCTTGGAACACGGGGTGTCGCTGAAGCTTACTTTTCCACCAGCGGACGCGTCTTCCAGGCGACGTCTTCCTACCGTAGTGCGTGAATGTGCGTAGTTGTAGCGTGCTCTGTAGTAGACAGGACCGTTTGTGAAAACGTTGACTCCACCGACACTCCGTATTGCAACGATGTTTCATCGCTTCAAGATGCAATCTTTCCCTGATCATCGACCACACTGACTTTCAATTAATATTAAAGTGCTAAATGTGAAACATTGTCGAAAGGTTGCGAAACGGTCTACTCGCTCTTTTTTTATTCCCGAGAAATGATTGATTGGCAGATTTTGCCACGGTAAACTTCAGCAGTTCATGGTGCTTTTTGCTCTGCAGAGGAAGTGCTCAAGAGTTACATATTTCGCTCCTGCCTCGCAGATAACGTCCGCTACCGTCTTCGGCGGAATGTCCCGGAGCCAGCTGGACCCGTTCATAAGGCGGCTGAGCGAGCAGTTCGGCTCCACCGACGGCACCATCGCCATGGCGTTTCCTCGCAACCAGGACGAGGCGCTCGGAGAGCTGGAGGCCTTCGAGCGCTGTTTCCCGTCGGTGCCGGCGTTGGCCAACCAGGCCACCGAGTTCAACGTGGACGGTCCGTTCGCGCCGATGAGCCGGCTCAAGCTTGTACTGCTGCTCATCAAGCTGCTCGACTGAACCGGTGAGTGGCGCATTGACTGACCTTTTGTTAGTGGATGCGAATACGATTTGGTAAACGGGCCGAAACGCGTTTTTTTCTATAGTTGGTGGCAAGCATAGGTCGGTAAACAACATCGGAGCTCACTTGGACCCACTCGTTAAACTATCTTGCACTTAGGACTTGCTCGGAGTCGCCAAAATTTTCTGGAGCTGCGACGTCGCAGACTCCAAGTGCGAGAAACACTTGGAGTCTGCGACGCACTTTAACGAAATGTTTCTTCAACAGGACTCGCTCGGACTCAGGCACAAAAATTATTACCCACCTGGACTCGATCACCTGGACTCGCTCGAGCTACGGTGGTAGGCGTACGTGAGAGGGGGAGGTGGTGCCAGCTAGAAATCTAACGGGGCCAATAAGTCTTATTTATTTACTCACTCAGACTTGTCTCGTCATTGATTGAAGTGCCGGTTTTTTTTATGACAGTTGTTGCTGAAGACATCTGGTGTTATATTCCACGAACGGCTGACTTCACACCTTTAGCCCCTCGCACCTGGGGATCTAAATCAAATGGTTGTGTGAAGCATGCGATCGCTTTATTTGAATTTTATATCTATTGCGAAGCACGCTTTGTTGATTGATTGATTGGTTTATTGATTGATATATTGATTTATAGATAGACTGGTAGTTAGATTGACAGACAGACAGACAGACAGATGGACAGACAGAAGGACAGATAGATAGATAGATGATTGATTTGATTGATATGTGGGGTTTTAACGTCCCGAAACCACTATATGATTATGAGAAACGCCGTAGTGGAGGGATCCGGAAATTTAGACCACCTGGGGTTCTTTAACGTGCACCCAAATCTGAGCACACGGGCCTCCTTCATTTCTGCCTCCATCGGAAATGCAGCCGCCGCAGCCGGGATACGAACCCGCGACCTGCGGGTCAGCAGCCGAGTACCTTAGCCACTAGACCACCGCGGCGGGGCATAGATAGATAGATAGATAGATAGATAGATGGATAGATGGATAGATAGATATGAATAGTCAGCGAAATTCGAAGGCCTCATTTCTTTAGTCTTTTATTTGCATGTTGCGTAGACTGAAGGCTGAACAGATAATTGCATGAAATATGGCAGCGATAGGGGCAAGCAGTCCGAATTTGTTCAGCCTAGAAAGTTCAAAGTACAGGTAGATGCGCTCCTACCCTCAAGCAGGTCGTAGAAAGTTTTCGGAGGGTGGGGGCACGGGTTTGATGTGTCACTCTTGGCTACGCCACTGCCCTCAACTTGATCGCAATGAGCTCACCTGGTCACGTTTCACTCGCGCTGCCACATTTGAGAGCACCCCTATGAAAATCGATATCTCCTACGCAGGAGAAGCTTGCGTGCCATTTTACCCGTCATTTGCAAGGAATCGATGAGGCCTTTGCAGAAGTCACAAACAATGCTTTAAGCCCGCACGTGCGAATTGAGGCAGCCCGCGATAGCTTCCGTTGTGTTTTGTATTGTTTAAAGGATTTTTCTTGTGGCGATGACGTTTATATTGATGGCGTTACGTTTTCCCCACTTTACTTTATTCAAACAACTTCGCCTAGAGCGTCCGCGGTGCGTTCCTTCCAGCGTCGTAGCGTTCGGGGCATTCTTTGAACAACTCCGCAGTTTTCAAGATGGAAAAGTCTTAGCTTTTCTCTTATGCATTCAGTAAAAACAACGTGCTAAAAACAAATAAAAGAACTGTGAGGAGGTTTATTAGCCGTTAAAGACAGCGACGAGACAGCGTGAAGAACCGTCCAGCGATCGGCACAGGAACGAACCGAAGCACGAGCCGAGAGAGCCGGGCGTTGGCGATGCTGCTTGCTGCAGGCACATCCTCTTCTTCACAATCGCCCCCGCTGAAAAAGGAGCCATCCTGGCGACCTAAGAAGTTTCAGGGAGAGGCTCATAATACGGTTTTAGGCGGGAAACATGGACGATGTCACGTGCATGCCGGCGCATGTCATCTGATCGGGAAACTGGCTCAAGGTAAATAACCGGAGAGGTTTTCTCTAAAACGGTGTAAGGCCCCTCGTATAGGGGGACAAGTTTTGATGAGAGTCCCGGAGTTTGGTATGGGATGGCAAGCGGCACGAGAGACTCTGGGGCATAGTTGGGATCCGGAAGAGAGGTGCAACGGTTTTCTTTCTGGCGTTGCTGCTCGTCCGAGGTGAACGCACGGGCGAGCTGGTGGCACTCTTCGGCTTGTCGAGCAGCATCGGAGATAGGTGGACATTCGGAAGCATCAGGACGGTAGGGAAGTAGAGTATCAATTGTATGGGAAGGGTCACGTCCATAAAGAAGCAAGAAAGGTGAAAATTCCGTGGTTGTTTGTATTGCAGTATTGTATGCGAATGTGACGTATGGGAGAACACGGTCCCAGTTGCTATGATTAGATGCCACGTACATTGAGAGCATATCACCCAGCGTGCGGTTAAACCGTTCCGTTAGCCCATTAGTCTGCGGGTGGTATGCTGTCGTTTTCCTATGAATGACGTGGCATTCCGAAAGCAGAGCTTCTACGACCTCGGAGAGGAAAGCGCGGCCTCTGTCACTAAGGAGCTCCCGCGGTGCGCCATGTCGAAGTATAAATTGACGTAAAATGAAAGAGGCGACATCCTGAGCGGTAGCGCTCGGTAAAGCGGCTGTTTCTGCGTAGCGTGTTAGATGGTCGACCGCAACTATAATCCACCGATTGCCATCTGGTGTCAATGGAAGGGGGCCGTAGAGGTCAACGCCAACGTGATCAAATGGCTTGGCAGGGCACGGAAGTGGCTGCGATTCGCCAGTCGCACGTAGCGGTGTTGATTTGCGTCGCTGGCAGTCAGGACAGCACAGCACAAATTTGCGTACAAAATTGTACATGCCGCGCCAGTAATAGCGATGGCGAAGGCGTTCATATGTTTTGAACACCCCGGCGTGGCCACATTGTGGATCGTCGTGAAGAGAGGCGCATACCTGCGATCGTAAAGTGCGTAAAATGACCAGTAGCCACCGGCGGCCATCAGGACAGTAGTTGCGTCGATGGAGAAGTTGATCGCGGATGGCAAAATGGAAGGCTTGACGTCGGAGGGATCGAGATACCGGAAGGTTAGGCGTACCGGATAGATACTCGAGAAGAGATTCGATGCACGGGTCACGACGCTGTTCGGTGGCAATTGAGTCAAGATTTAACGATGACAAGGTCTGGAGGCACGTGTTTCCGCACGTCGGATCTGGTGGCAAAGGTGAGCGGGACAGGGCGTCAGCGTCAGAGTGTTTGCGTCCGCAGCGGTATACGACGCGAATGTCGTACTCCTGGATGTGGAGTGCCCATCGCGCAAGGCGGCCAGAAGGGTCTTTCATCGTGTAGAGCCAGCAAAGCGCGTGGTGATCAGTTACTAGATGAAACGTGCGGCCGTATATGTACGGCCGGAACTTTCCAAGCGCCCACACCAGAGCCAAACACTCTTTTTCTGTCACGCTGTAATTAGTTTCGGCTTTCGTCAGAGTGCAGCTAGCGTAGGCTACAACGTATTCTGAATATCCGGGTTTTCGTTGAGCGAGGACAGCACCTAGCCCGACTCCGCTGGCGTCGGTGTGCACTTCGGTAGGAGCCGTCGGGTCGAAGTGGCGAAGAATAGGTGGGGAGGTGAGCAGACGGCGCAGAGTGGTGAAGGCAACGTCACATGCAGGGGACCAGGAGGAGAGGTTCACGTCACCGCGAAGATGCTGGGTTAATGGTGACATGATGGATGCAAAATTGCGAACAAAGCGCCGGAAATATGAGCATAGGCCTACAAAACTGCGAAGTTTCTTCGTGGTCGTCGGCTTGGGAAATTCTGCGACTGCTCGAAGTTTTGCTGGGTCAGGTAATACGCCGTGCTTCGACACGATGTGGCCTAGGATGACGAGCTCGCGTGCAGCGAAGCGGCATTTTTTCAGGTTAAGCTGCAGGCCAGCGTTGGTCAGACAAGTCAAAACGTGCCTGAGGCGAAGGAGGTGCGTAGGAAAGTCATGCGAGAAAACCACGACATTGTGAGGTAGCAGAGGCACATATTCCACTTGAGGCCACGTAGCGTATTATCCATAAGTCGTTCAAACGTGGCGGGCGCGTTACAAAGCCCAAAGGGCATGACGTTAAACTCGTATAGTCCGTCAGGTGTAATAAATGCAGTTTTTTGGCGATCGGCTCCAGCCATTGGAACTTGCCAGTAGCCAGACCGCAAATCTAGCGACGAGAAGAATTCCGCTCCGTGAAGGGTGTCAATGGCGTCACCAATGCGCGGCAAAGGATATACGTCCTTGCGGGTTATCTTATTGAAACGACAATAGTCCACGCAAAATCGGATAGATCCGTCTTTCTTACGCACCAGGATGACAGGAGACGCCCAGGGACTGTGAGATGGTCGAATGACGTCTCTACGAAGCATATCTTCGACTTGATCGTTGATGACGCGGCGCTCTTCAGTGGAGACACGGTATGGTCTTTGACGCAGTGGCTGGTGTAGGCCAGTGTCAACATGATGCTTGACTTGCGACGTGCGGCCTAGTTGAGGTTGGGACATCGAAAGAATTCCGGAACTCATGCAGAAGATCAAGCAGGTCGGCATGTTCGGTGGGAGTGAGGGTGTCGGTGATGGCGCTGGAAAACGTATCCTTGGACGACTCATTGAGGGCCCACAGTGATTTTGGGTGGTCGCAGTAGTCATCCGGGACATCAACCAAAGACGAAGGGTCGAGATCCTGCACGCGGCCGAGACATTCCCCCGCAAGCAAAGTGACAGGTGTGGAAAGCGGGTTGAGTATGAACATATTGCTTCTTCCGGCGGCAAGGTCAATCGTAGCGAAAGGCAGCGGCAGAGCTCGACGACTCGTGAAGATATCGGAAGGCATAAAAAAGACTGTAGTGTCAGTGTAGGCGTTGCATGAAACTGGAACAAGTGCGAAATTTTCAGGTGGAATGTCGGTATCTTCATGCACGAACTACTTCAGCGG